TACTCTAACCACTAAACTATTATAATTTCCCGATAATAACTTACAAATAAATTATATTTATATACAAATAAATATATATCCATGTAAATATATATTTATTTGTATATATTTTCTGGAAAGTATTTTTATTTCTTTTCGACCAAAAATTCACTTAAGTTAATGAATTGTCACTGACAAGCATTTGAACCCGGTATTTTAGGGTTGTAAGTTAATATCCCAACCACTAAACTACTACAATTTTTTGATAATAACTTACAAATAAATTATAATGGTATTTTTTGACCGAGGGTGAAAGTGTGATTGACTCTCGCTTGAGTGAAAATATGTTAAAGCTCACGGAAATTCACTCACTCAAGTCTCGCTTGAGCGAAAATTGGTATTTTTCGCTTGAGAGCGAATAACCCGTTTCCCAAATTTATTTTATATTATTATATAAATAAAATTATAAAGATTATATTATGTCATTAAATTACAAACTCATATAAAGATACCTGCTCACAAATTTAGCATCAAATTTTGAAAACCTACTCGACACACACTTTCACTTTTGAGTGTACCCTCACATTCAACATATAAATATATAACTATATAAATATATCAAAATATATAAATATATTTTTATTTATATATTTACACGGATATATATTTATTTGTAAGTTATTATCAAAAAATTCCAGTAGTTTAGTGGTTGGAGTATCGACCTCCAACTCTAAAGTACTTGGGTTCGAATCCTGCCAATGACAATTCTCTTAAAAAATTAATAAACTTCTAAAAAATATAATATAAAGAGATGGAAGACCTAATAAAAATATAATATAAAGAGAGGGGAGACTTCTAAATAAATAAAGGGGGTAAAGGGGTTGTAAATAAATAAAAATTATTAATTTAAAAAATTATACTTTCAACGTCGGTTCTAATAAACCGACGTTAAAAGTCCGTAACTTTCAACGTCGGTTTATTAGAACCGACGTTGAAAGTTACGGACTTTCAACGTCGCCTGATATAACGTCGGTTCCAGAACCGACGTTGAAGGCTTTATTTGTAGTAGTGATATTTATTTGTATATTTACAATTTTATCCTTTCATCACTCCTACCTAGGGGTGTCAATATGGGTTCTAACCCGTGAGCCAACTCGGCTCACCACGGGTTCGAGTCCGGTTGGGTTCAATTTTTTTTATTTCTATCGATTATGGGCTAAAAATGAACCTGGCCCACTTAACCCACGGGTTAAACGGGTTCGAGCCGGGTTATGGTGGGTTGACTCGCAACCCACCATTAATTTTAAATTTTAAAAATAATTATAATAATATAATAACCCTAATTAATCATTTATTTTAAATTTTAAAAATAATTATAATACTTTAGTAACCTTAATTGATCTTGTCCTGTCTTACCTCTCCCCTACATTATTGGTCTGTCGTCATAAGTCAAACCCTCACTTAAACTTATTATCAGTTATTCGCTGCACTTATGTTACTTGTCTTATTATCTCGTCCACCGCACCACTACACCATGTCCACTGTATTGCTTTCAAAGGTAAGAATTTATTTCATAACCTAAACTATTGGATTGATGAATCTTTATTTGAAAATTGTTGCATCTATACATTATTTGTTGTTTGTTATTGATTTATACGTATATTTCTTTAATATATGAATTTTTGACTTCTTTCTTTTAAATTAATTTACAGTATGGAATTTGAAATAATACATCAAAGTGTCAATGTAAATTGTATTGGTGATGATTTTATTATTAATAAAAAACCCAATGAGCCAATTTCAGTTAATAATGAAGATATTGATATTGAGAAAAAAATGAAGAAAGCATAAGTTTCTACATCCGAAGTTTCTATATAATTTAAAAAATAAAAAAATATGGGTTAGTGAGCCAACCCACCTAACCCACTAACCCGTGGTGGGTTGAGCCGGGTTTGACCATCCAAACTTAATGATCATTTAATATATTTATTTATATATTTACAATTTTATCATTTCATCACTCCTACCTTTTATATAATTTATGATTTTGTTTCCTCAAACTTAATGATTATTTAATATATTTATTTATACATTTACAATTTTATCCTCTCACCTTTTTATATTCTTTCACCCTTTTATATTTATTTATTATTTATTAATAATATATTATTTGACCCCAAAATCAATAATGAATATCCGCCAAACTATATAATAATTAACGATTTTTATATTATAAAATACTATCCAACATAATTGAAATATATATATATATATATATATATATATATTTATTATATAAATAATTTTAATGTATACGCATTATTCAATCTTTCCACTACAAGAAAATCGCGTATTACAGACGGATATTTACCGACTGATTTGTATCCGATCGGAAAATAATTATTAGCGACTGAAATTACCGACGGATATAAAATATTTGTGGAATTTGATCTTACCAGACGGATATATCCGTCGGTAAAATAATAATTAGTTACCGACGGATATATCCGTCGATAAATCCGTCGGTAATTGACAGGTGAATTTACCGATGGATATATCCGTCGGTAAATCCATCGATAAATTAATAATTAATTACCGACGGATATATCCGTCGGTAAATTCATTTGTAAATTACATGACGGATATTTCAGTCGGTAAATTATCAATTAGTAAATATTCAACTAATTAAAAAAAATTAATATTTTTTATTTAATAATTTCATTTAATCAAAATTAGATTAATTTATAATAATTTCTTAAATTAAATAATTTTAAAAAATAAATATTTAATTATATATAAATATATATATATATATATATATATAAATATATAAATAAAAATATATAAATATAAATATAAAAATATAAAAATATAAAAATATATAAATATATATAAATATATAAATATATATAAATATATAAATATATAAATATATAAATATATAAATATATAAATATATAAATATATAAATATATAAATATATAAATATATAAATATATAAATATATAAATATATAAATATATAAATATATAAATATATAAATATATAAATATATAAATATATAAATATATAAATATATAAATATATAAATATATAAATATATAAATATATAAATATATAAATATATAAATATATAAATATATAAATATATAAATATATAAATATATAAATATATAAATATATAAATATATAAATATATAAATATATAAATATATTAAAATATATAAATATATTTGTATATAAATATAATTTATTTGTAAATTATTATCGAAAAATTCTCAGTAGCTTAGTGGTTGGAGTATCGTCTCTAACTCTAAGGTCTTGGGTTGAATCTTATCAATGACAAAATTCTCTTAATCTAATAATAATTGAAGCCTATAAAATTGTAATAGGAAAAAATAATTAATAATAAATAATAAAAATATAAAGGGAAGGGGTATTCTATAAAATAAATAATCTATATAAGTAAAATATTTAATAAATAATAAAAATATTACCAACGGATTCTCGTCCGTCGGTAATTTCGTCAAACATTTAGCTGACGGATATATCCGGTCGGTAAATGGATATTACCGACGGATTTTGACCGTCGGTAATATCAAAATTTCTTGTAGTGTTCTCAATATCAGAAATTTTGACGTGTCTATTATATTAGTTATCATAAGATAAAAGGAAGGATTTAATTTGGTGAGTAATGCAAAGTGCCAATGGATCAAATAACTTATAGTAAATTATCATTAATTATTTAAAAAAAATAGTTTTAGTGAGATATTTTTTTAGAATTAACTGCTGATACTGGGTGGATGATTTTGTGACATTTGTTGTGAACTAAGTCATCGGTTTTTCTAGACCTTTTATAAAAAGACCGTGATGATTCCATGTAAAATTGAAGAATTTTACCTTGATATCATACCTGTTTCCATAGCAGCTAATCACAACTTGAAAAGCTCCGCAGAGGGAATAGACTCTTTCTGTCATTTCTCTGCTACCTAGTAAGAGACCAAGCAGGTTGGAACTTCTGTACAATTTCACAATTTGCCAACAAAGCTAACCATTCTTAGTGGACGATATTTGCCATGCTTTTACTCTGACCACTATCACTAGTGACAAACTTTGTTCAATGACGACAGAATCATTACTGCATGCTTTTCCCAGAAAACAAAAACTGCAATAAAGACACTTTTGAACTCATCATTCGCACCATGCCAAATCATTTGTCTTATTACTTTCTAAAATAATGTTTTCATTCGTTTCTTCTTTCTCTTTCATTTCTAATGCAAGCTCGTTTATTTATTTTGCGGTTATTTACAAGTTTGATTTAGGTAAGACAATTCTAAATAATTTTTTCATTGAATAAAATAATTATACTAAATTCTATTATTGATACATAAACTATATTAATTCAAATTAAATTTTGCATAATCAGTTTTATTTAGAATTATTTTATAGAAGTATTCACCCAACAAGCTTATTCACTTCCCCTTATGTTGATTCCCAAATATGTGCAATCTATAAAGATATAACGGTTATTCTTATATGATTTTTTTTTTTCTTATTCTTCCAAAAGAATTTCTCCATCTACAAGTAGTATCCTCAGCATAGCTTCGATAGGTCTCAGTTAACACATGGAAGTGACAAATTATAACATAATAAACTCTTGTAGACTTTGATAAAATCAATGCATTGTATCAGATGGTTATCAACTAATTAAACTTTTTCTTATATTGAACCGGATAATTTTGTTTATACCTCAATATGGGTAAGTTCATAATTAGCCACATGTTATTGGTTTCCTGGGTTGTGAGCAGTTTAGATTTGTTTTATGGTAATGTTATCATCGACATTTTGTTGTCTTTATTCCAAAATCCAGTCCATACAACAAAATGACAAGTTAAGAATGAAACAAGTTTCTTTTGTAATATATATATATATATATATATATATATATATACGGAAGTTACAGTTTAAACCATTCCAGGTAATAGCGTTGTTGTTTGGTGAAGAAAAAGCAGAAGAGTGAAATGGAGCTTGCAACTGTGAAATCTGAACTGAGCCCAAGAAACCATAGATTGCTCATGATAGATGGTAGTGAGGTTATTGCTACTAAGTGTGTCAAAAGGAGGCGAAGAGATTCGTCTATGGCAGTGTTAGATGGCAATGAACAACAAGGTGAAAAGTTAGAAGAACATAAGCAACTTGGTACTGCCACCACAGTGAAGAGAAGTTCAAGGTTCAGGGGTGTTAGCAGGCATGATCTTCATAAACAAAACATCTTAGGCCTTGTTTGTTTACTGATTTCAAAAGCAGTTTTGTGGATTCTAAATTTCTTTTGCTCCTTAACTACATTTGAAAGTGTCTGCCTCTTGAGCATATTATTATGTTTTCTAAAAGTTTGTCTCCTAATTGTGTACTTAAATGGAAAACATTTGAAGAAAACAGAAGAGAAAAGGATGAGAAAACATTTCCCAACTGCTTTTGTACTTTTGTTTTTGAATTGTTTTAGAAGCAGTTTTCAAACGTAGTAGTAGATTTTGGATGAAATTATGATTATTAAGTAGTGTGAAGCTATTTTAGAATGTAGTTTTTAAAACAAAAAACAAATGAGAAGAGAATCAAACAAGCCCTTATTCTCAGTTTCTTTTGACCTATTTCTGATTCTTTTAGTGATTTCTTTCTGATTTCAAGCTAAAATTATATCTTTTTGTGGATCAGACACAGGTGGACTGGAAGGTTTGAAGCACATCTTTGGGATAAAGGGACCTGGAATCCCACTCAGAAGAAGAAAGGAAAGCAAGGTAGATATTGAACACTTACCTCTCTTCACTTTCATTGGCTATTTATTGTTTTTGTTTGCTCATTGCATTGTTGTTCTATTTTTTGTATGTGGCTTTGTTGCTATCTTGATGTGGAGCAGTATATTTGGGTAAGTACGTCATCTGTTTGATTTTAACAGTACTTTTTTCTGAATTAAAGGATAAATAGAGAAAGTGACCTTTTGGTTAAATTTATGCTCAAAACAGGAGCTTATAATGATGAAGAAGCCGCTGCTAGAGCTTATGATTTGGCTGCACTCAAGTACTGGGGAACATCGACTTTCACAAATTTTCCTGTATGTCTATCATAAATAAAAAAGCACAAGTTTTCTTGTTGAAGAGTTGTGCCTGAGTGATATCTATTTGTCACCCTGATAATTTTGCAGGTATCTGATTATGAGAAAGAAATTGAGATAATGAAAACAGTAACTAAAGAAGAATATCTAGCTTCTTTGAGAAGGTAATCCCATTTCTTCAAGAAATACTGCCATTAAATCTTTTGATTTTTTATTTTTTTTATTTTTTTTGAAGTTCTATATAGTGTTTGTGTGTTTATTTTAGGAGGAGCAGTGGTTTTTCTAGAGGTGTATCAAAGTATAGAGGAGTAGCAAGGTGAAACATTTTCTAAATTTTGCAATCAAACCTTATCTTTCATGTTCAACAAAACAAAGAAATACAAGGGGCTAAGGTATTAAGTCTGAAAACTAAATACAGGCACCATCACAATGGAAGATGGGAAGCAAGGATTGGGAGAGTGTTTGGCAACAAGTACCTCTACCTTGGGACTTACAGTGAGTTTTCACACTCGTATAAAGAACATCCCTTGGTCACTTCACCATATGCATCCATGTCCAAAATCAGAAGAATTTTGGAAAACAAATGGTCAAAATTTATAACTTAGATAGTAGGTTATGTAGTAAGATTCATTATCCATATCAAGGTTTTAATAAATGATTACCCTATTTTGGATTGTAATGTGAGCTTTTTGGACTTTCAATGATTTTATTGGTCCCATTTGTTCATACTTTCTCACAATATCAGCGATTGTGATAGAACTGCCGCTGTGACAGCAATTTTAAATACCTTGATTGATCCAAATAGTTTATTGATAAAGAGCTGTCACCTTATCTATTTGCTCATGTCTTCCTCCAAAGGTACACAAGAAGAAGCAGCTCGTGCATATGACATTGCAGCAATTGAGTACAGAGGCATAAATGCTGTGACAAACTTTGACCTGAGCACCTACATCAGATGGCTAAGACCAGGAACACATCCTACTGCTTCTCATGATCAAAAGCCTATCACAGACCCTCAGCCCCTTGCTACCTCTAACTCCATGCAAACAAGAGGGAGCGTTGAGGTATCCAACTCCAACATGCATTCATTCTCCTCAGGTGAATTGGACAGTACCAAGAAGCAAGACTTTTCCAGGTATATGAACCCTCTGAGTCCTTGCAACAAGCCTTCTTCCCCAACAGCATTAGGACTTCTCCTAAAATCATCAGTGTTTAGAGAATTGATGCAGAGAAATCTGAACTCCTCTTGTGAGGAGGCTGAACAAGTTGAATTGAAACACCCACAAAAAGGCAATGATGGAAATGGAGGAATTTATGATAATGACAGCACCAGTAACTCTTACTTTTTCTCTTCTAATATCAACAGATTACCTAACTTGGAGTCATCGGAAGAGAGTTCACTGCCTATGTATCATGGAACTGTACAATCCCTATGGAATAGTTCTTTCCACATGTCCAACTGATTGCTTTTGTTATTTATTTTCTTTTTTACTACTATTATTATTGTTATTAAGAAAAGTTGAGTGAAAACTCTCCCTTCTTAGCATACTATAGCTTAAGTCAAATAATTCCCAAGATATGCATAAGGGCACTTCGACCTTGACTGTTCGTAAATCAACAATGTCAAATAAACATCATTATTGACTTTTAAAGAAACTGTGTAAAACTCCTTATGTTGTTCCTAACATATGTCTTTAAGATGTTTGGGTAAGCAATTATTTATTAAAAATTTTCGTCATTTTGAAAAAAGTGTCGTTTTAGGTTATCTCACATAGATTGTGTAATTATTTTAAATATTACGATCATGAACTAAATCGTTAATTATTTTTGTTCTTTTTATTTCTTACTTTATCTTGGAGATAATATTTGGTCACTCTACTGTTTGTTTATTAGTGGCATTAGAGTCACTGGTTATTGATATTATTTACTTGTAATACACATCGTGATAATGTTAAAAGAAAAATTCTAATACGAGAATTCATTTCATCATTCCTATAATAAAATTATTCTTATTATTTGATATAAAGTATGATAATACATCTTTAGAAATTCTGATAAATTGAAGTTAATATTTAGACTCATTAGTATTTCACTTTTTTTTCTTATACACTATTTATCTCATGTACTAATTATGATTTATCATTAGTAAATGTATGTATAAGGTGTAAAAATAATTGATACGTGTAAAATATTTAAAACAAAATATAAGATAAAAAAGTTAAATAATTTTTTTATTGTGAAAATCACTAATGTACTTGATAAAATTGTTCTAGATTTGTAGTTGATGGAATCGTTATTGTATGTGAAAGATACAACAACAATTATAACCTGTCGTTGTATCTTGACATACAATGACGATTATTTATAAATAATCATCATCATATGTAATATACATCGATAGGTCTTTATAAATAATCATTCTTGTATCGTGATATACAACGAATTTAGTTATATATGTCATTGAATCGTCGCATCTTGCATGCTTATGATAACGATTATGAAATTACTTGTCATTGTATCTTTTTTTTTTTTTCTAATAAACAATTTGTTTCACTAGTACAAAAAACCTTTTTAACATCGGACTTTCTACATCGGTTGTTAAAGAACCGATGTAGAAATTTTTTTAAAGACTTTCCACATCGGTTCAGATGGGAACCGATGTAGAAAGTACTTTCTACATCGGTTCTCCCATGAACCGATGTGGAAAGTCTTTTTATTTTAAAAAAAAATAATAAAAATTTTAGACAACGTCTCCCAAGCCCTTACAGACTCGACTCCTAGGCCCTTACAGACTCGACTCCCAGACCCTTACAGACTCGACTCCCTCTGGAATTCTTCCCTTGCTCCTAGCCATTACCAAATTCATTCTCCTGCACCTTCACCGCACCAAAACCTTCTTTGCCTACTGTTAGAATCGCGCAGCGGAATGTTCGCGTGGTCGGACAAAAACCAAGAGGGGGGGGGGGGGTGAATTGGTTTCTTAATAAAAATTAGGTTTTCAAAATTTTCCCCAAATTTTACCGATTAAAAACTGCGTAAATGTAAATAGAGAAGAGTAGAGAAGATTACACGAGTAGGTTTATACTGGTTCGGATCAAAAGACCCTACGTCCGAGTTGCTAATCACTCAAAAGAGGATTAACGCATCATCACTAACAAATTGTTACAAACAGATTACAAATGAACGAGATAAAGATCGGAAAACACCTCTCTTGAAATCCACAAGAGATGAAGAACAACTTTCCCTAGAGACGGCACAGACACACAATCCACTAAGAACTCCACTTAGTGATTCTTATCGCTTATAGCCTCACACCAGGTTCCAAAAGCCCCCTTTCCTTGCAACAAACAGTTCTCCGGCACTCACGACACTTAACTTTTGTATGGAAAGAGTTGTTCTTATTTTTCGAGTGCCAAAGCGAGTTTAAGTAGGGAAATTAGGGTTTAGGAATTGGGGATTTCGAAACTAGGGTTCTTGGTAATTGGGTTTTCGAAAATAGGGTTAATTTGAAATTTAAAATGAAAAAGCAGATCGAAATAATCGATTATTTGGAGTGATAATCGATTAAAATAGAGTCAAATACGTCGGAACCCAAACCTCTACGGAATAATCGATTATTTGGTGAAATAATCGATTATCCATACTGAACAGATACAAAACAATCGATTATTTTGTCTGTTTTAATCGATTAAAACAGTGAGTTTGTATAGAAAGTGTTTTCTCACTTGTTTTAATCGATTATTTACCTATATAATCGATTAAAGCCGAGCCTAAATGATAAATTTGAGCTTTTTGAAGCTTCTAAGTTACGAGACTATGTACTGGCTATCTTAGACTCTAAAAATACGAGACTCAATCTTAAATAAAACGAGTTATTACAATACAATTATCACCAATCTTCAATCTTCAATATTCTAAGTCTTTAGTTCTTGGATCATCATCAAAATCCATTCTTCATATTCATCAAGTGCAACATCAAGTCCTTGAATTGTCAACAATCTCCCCTTTTTGATGATGATCAAAATTTTCTTTTAAAGCCCTTTGTAATAACCTTGTTTTATCCGTCATACTAACAAACACATTAAACATACCGAGATAAAATTTAAAATTGAATCATAGGCTTTAAATTTTTCTCCCCTATTTTGATTATAATCAAAAAGAACTCTGCAACATCAATCATAAGAGCTCCCCCTCAAAATATGCATAAGTTAGAGAAAGCTCCCCCTCAATCATAGCATGAAAGAAACATCAAATTTTATTTCACAATCATTCAACCATTACAACATCAAGACAATAACAAAAGAAAATACATTGATTCTCTCTATATCAGACATTTTTAATCGATTATTTCTAGCAAATAATCGATTGTCAGAGGCATTTAATCGATTATATCACGAAATAATCGATTATTCCAGAGGAGAATACCCTGTTTTGGACGTTTTGAGAAAAAATAATCGATTATTACTTCCAATAATCGATTATTCCAGAGGCTATATCAAGTTTTTAAGGTTTTTACACATTATAATCTATGAATATCCTACAACACGAATTTTAACATAACAATCATCCAAAAACAGTCAATTTAAGCAGAATTTAAGCTATTTCTAATATCCCTAAGTCTCTTCTAAGATCATAGAATCTATCCTTTGGTAGAGGCTTAGTAAATATATCTGCTAATTGACATTTAGTGTCTACATACTCTATCTTACAGTTTCCTTTGCTGATATTATCTCTTAAAAAGTGATGTCTAATCTCAATATGTTTAGTCCTAGAGTGCATTACTGGATTCTTAGTTAGATTGATTGCACTCGTATTATCACACATTAATGGAATGTCATTTAAATATATGCTATAATCCTCTAATTGTTGTTTCATCCACAGAATTTGAGCACAACAACTACTACGTTGCAATATATTCGACTTCGGTGGTAGATAAAGCTACACATGCTTGTTTCTTAGAATGCCATGAAATTAAGGATGAACCTAACAAATGACATGTCCCACTAGTGCTTTTCCTATCAATTTTACATCCACCATAATCAGCATCGGAATATCCTAATAAACTCATACAAGCATCGAGACGGATACCACAAGCCAAACCCGGTAGTTCCTTTTAAGTATTTTAAAATATGTTTTACTGCAATTAGGTGAGATTCTTTAGGACAAGCCTGAAATCTAGCACACACACGAGACAAAATGCATAATATCGAGGTCTACTAGCGAGTTAAGTATAATAGTGATCCTATCATACCTCTATACATAGTTTGATTAACTTCCAAACCTGATTCATCCTTGTCTAGATAGCATGAAGTTCCCATGGGTGTGTTAGCTTCCTTTGAGGTGTTCATACCAAACTTTTTGAGAATCTCCTTGCGAGTATTTAGTTTGAGAGATGAAAGTGCCATCTTTAAGTTGCTTGATTTGAAGTCCAAGGAAGAATGTTAATTCTCCCATCATAGACATTTCAAACTCTCCCTGCATAATCTTAGCAAATTCTACACACAAAGAATTATCAGTTGATCCAAAAATAATATCATCAACATATACCTGGACCAATAATATATGTTCTTTAACTTTCTTAATAAATAGTGTAGAATCAATTTTTCCTCTTGAAAAATCATTTGCGGTTAGGAAACTACTTAATCTTTCATACCAAGATCTAGGAGCTTGTTTCAACCCATATAATGCTTTCTTCAATTTGAAAATATGATTAGGATTATTAAAATCTTCAAAACCAGGGGGTTGCTCTACATACACTTCTTCTTTAATAAAACCATTTAAAAATGCACTCTTAACATCCATTTGATATAATTTAAATTTCATCATAGATGCATAAGCAAGAAGTAGGCGTATAGCCTCTAACCTGGCCACAGGAGCATAAGTTTCATCATAATCTATACCTTCCTCCCGACAATAGCCTTTTGCAACAAGTCTGGCTTTATTCTTTGTTATATTACCATCTTCATCAAGCTTATTTCTGAATACCCATTTAGTTCCAATAACTTGATGTGACTCTTCTCTTGGGATTAGTTCCCGGACTTGATTCCTTTCAAATTGGTTAAGTTCTTCTTGCATGGCTATGCACCATTGATCATCTTTAAGTGCTTCCTCAATGTTTTTAGGTTCAATCTGTGACACAAAAGCAACAGACATACAGAAATTATCCATATTTCTAGTTCTTACCCCTTTTGAGATGTCCCCTATAATGTTGTCCATTGAGAGTCCTCTAGGTGATTGCCATTCTTTTGCTAATTGAGGAGTTTGAGAAGGCACATTATCTTCCAAGTATAATTCATCAAGGGCCTCTCTTATATATTCATCATCACCTGCAAGTCTTTTATTTGACTCAAGAGGATTTCCCCCAAGGTCTACAATCTCATCAAAGGTAACATGTATAGATTCTTCTATATTCAAAGTTCTCCTATTAAACACTCTATATGCCTTGCTAGTTAAAGAATAACCT